AATATTCATTAAACTCAATCTTTACTTGATTTTTTACGTGGGTTTGAAGAAACATAAAACTTGGACGCAACTAAATTAATCGAATAAGCTAAGCTCTTATGCAAGTTGAGATTAATTAAGTTGCTAATTAAGTAATTAATTAGGTGGAAGCATTTTAAGTGAGTTACTCGAATAATGAATTTAGAATTCGTATTCTCAATCCAAACTATTCATATACGATTCACCCGAGATGAATCATTAATGTATACCGTATATAATACGAGTTTTGGACTGTTGAGAATCGTTCGAGTTCTGCTGGTTTGTTGAACCAACATAATTTTCAGTATTTATTATTTATTTATCATTTATTGTCTATTTCGTCTAGTGTTTTGAGACTTTTATATACGCCTTGAAGACACCCTTTTGGGTACTTTGGATTTCATATTGTCAAATTTTACTAATACATTTTTTATTTATTTATTTATTTTTTTTTTTTGGTACAAAAAAGGAGGCCGAAGCCTAAAGACTAAGATAAGACACGACGTGGCCGGGCCACTTCTAAGAGATCATGGCTCAACCAGTGGCCAAGTTCCTGCGGTGGAGCTGTAAGACGATGAACGCCTACCGGAACATTTTTTATTTCATTAGAAGTACGTTTATCATTTATGTTATATCGTCCGGTATTAATAATCACTCTCATTTTAACTTAATTACACATATACCAACTATTTTATTTTTAATAGCTAATATTAGGTAAAAAGACCTTGGTATAAAATTTTGTTTTATTTAATATCATCATTTAAAATTCATAATTTTGGAAGAAAAAATTAGGTTAAATTATACCAAAGTCTTTTTACCAAACTAATTTTGTTTTATATAAATAATTGTGGTACAAAGTGAAGACAAAATTAGGTTAAAGTGCTTATCGTGTTGTTGAAATATAATTGACAATGAGAGGGCATCACCATTTAGTTGTTTTGACATCACACGATGATGGTACATTCAGTTTGGTCTAACCTAATTAGGCGGCTTCTTTTTTTAAATTAACCAAAGTTTTAGGAAATTAATTTTATGTTTATATATCCCATATATATTAATTTAAAACGTGTAGAGTTTAATTGGGAAGCTCGCATGTTTTGGAATCCTATATGTCATAATGTCACACTTTGTATTTAGGTTCGAATAAAAAATTTAGAAACAAAATTGGTTTGGAAAGTGCCACAAATAATATTTTCACGATACACATACATTATTGACTTCCATCAATCTCTCATTCATTTCTAAATTTGACTTTAAGATCGCACAAATCTTTATTTTTTAATTTTATGTTACTAAATATTTATCTCATTCATCATATTTTTTTACTTATTAAAGTTGATAGATTTAGCCCTTTTTTTAGTCTGTTTCTTTGTTTACGTAATTAATCATGATGAACTAAAATTATGTATTATAGTTATATAAATAATATATTAATGAAATGTTAATTAAATACGTACCTTATCTTAATTCTCATCAATTTTAATCCTTATTTTAATAATAATCCATTATCTTATTTTTTACGTTGATAGATTTTAGCCCATTCATCGTATTTTTTATTTTTCCAAGTTGATAATTTTTAGTCATTTTTTACCATGTGTCTTTGTTTGCGTATTGATGAACTAAAATATTATATTATAATTATATTGATAATATAAGTAATGAAATCTTAACTAAACACGCTACTTGTCTTATTAATATTAACCTCTTGATTTTCTGATGTCACAATTTATTATAAATTTGTGTTGCGACAAAGATCAAAATATTATAAGTAAAACTAATAATATTGTCTACAAATAATTTTTTTAGAATTTGAAATAAAATACCAACGTACAATAAATTTTGTTTTGTAAAACTTTCACTTATTTATTTTGTATATACTTCCAATAACTAAGCATTTTTGTATTATTTGTTCAAATTATTTTTTTGAAGTACCCGTGTAGTACACAGATGTCATATTAATACACTTTAATAAAAAAGAAAATTAGGAAAGTTATTCAATTTTTTTATTTTTTATGTATAAAATATCTCTCATGTTATATTTTCTTTGGTTTTAATTATTCATTTAGTTATTTATTATTTCTTTTTGTTTTCATAAATCACATGTATAGTGACGTTTAATTATTTCCACCAAAATTGTTCCCATTATACCAACTTTTAATAACCAGCCTGAATTTGTTGGAAGATGTCTGATATAACATTAATGAACTCTCTTAAACATACACCAATCATAAATTTTATAATTATTATTTATTAATACACAATACACAAATATTTTTTATTGAGTCAAAGTCAAACTAAGACAATATAAGTCTATCTCTACTCTACTCTACAATCAATTGAAATGTTTTATATATATTTCTTAATTTTTTTACCAAAATATAATTACTACACATTTTTTTTTCATATTTAATTACTTAAATTCTTACAAAATGAAAGTGCCCACCATAAAAATTGCCAAGAAATGCATATAAACCAGATGATCAATAATCTTGAGATTGCCCATCCTTTTCCCATCACTACATAAATGTTTATATAATT